GACATTCTTTACTTATCACAGGTCAGAAACCTCGTACAGGGACTGTGCAAACAAGGTATGAAGCCAGATTTCCCAAGAGGCTTTTATTGGCTCTGTAAATCAACTTTGATTCCTTAAAGAAAGCATGCCATTCCAGTCAAAGCCTTGGTAAAATAACCAGTTTCTACAATTGTGTTCTGTTACAAAAGAAAACAGATTCTTATTGTACTTATACAAATATCTATGCTACCATAAATTGAGAATACTCACAAATAGTTCCCAAATTCTGGAGAAATCAGGTAGAGAGAAACATATGCTCCAAATTTTGATTACAGGAGTATATTTTACCAATTGTTAAAAGCTGTAAATAGCTCAAAAGAAAAGTTTTCTTAGCTCTGGAAAACAAAAAGGATCAGCAACATTTTAAGCAAAAAAGTTAAAAAAAAAAAACTACTTCAGTCTTCTGTTAGTTCAGTCTATTCAGTTAACTTCTGTTCTGCTTCATATTCATGAACATTTCAGCTCTCCACGAGAGCCCTAAAAGTTTTTTCCCCTTATACTAATGTCATAATCTCCAAAGTTATCAGAAACTTGCATTCAAGAGTACCTGTCAAAGTTTTATAGCTGATTATAAAACCACCTTCTAAAGTAGATCAAAATGAGACAATTGTCTGTGGATGACAAAAACATTTTAGGGCAGCCACAGTTAAAAACACAATTGGGCTGGGTGCAGTGGCTCACGCCTGTAATCCCTGCACTTTGGGAGGCCAAGGCTGGCAGGTCACGAGGTCAGGAGATCGAGACCATCCTGGCTAACCCAATGAAAACCCATCTCTACTGAAAATACAAAAAAATTAGCTGGGCATGGTGGCAGGCGCCTGTGTTCCCAGCTACTTGGGAGGCTAAGGAAGCAGAATGGCGTGAACTTGGGAGGCGGAGCTTCCAGTGAGCCGAGATCACACTACTGCACTCCAGCCTGGGCAACAAAGCAAGACTCTGTCTTGGCCAGGTGCAGTGTCTCACACCTATAATCCAGCACTTTGGGAGACTGAGGCGGGTAGATCACAAGATCAGGAGTTCGAGACCATCCTGGCTAACACGGTGAAACCCTGTCTCTACTAAAAATACAAAAAATTAGCTGGATGTGAGTAGCCTATAGTCCCAACTACTCGGGAGGCTGAGGCAGGAGAATGGCATGAGCCTGGGAGGCGGAGCTTGCAGTAAGCCAAGATTGCACCACTGTACTCCAGCCTGAGGGACAAAGCAAGACTCTGTCTTGGCCGGGTGCGGTGGCTCACACTTGTAATCCCAGCACTTTGGGAGGCCAAGGTGGGCGGATCGTGAGGTCAGGAGATCAAGACCATCCTGGCTAACACAGTGAAACCCCATCTCTACTAAAAATACAAAAAAATTAGCCAGGCGTGGTGGCGGGCACCTGTAGTCCCAGCTACTCAGGAGACTGAGGCAGGAGAATGGCATGAATCCAGGAGGCGGAGCTTGCAGTGAGCTGAGATCGCGCCACTGCACTCCAGCCTGGGTGACAGAGTGAGACTCCGTCTCAAAAAAAAAAAAAAAAGCGATTCTCATAAGGGCTCAGAAGAGAACTGTAGAAAAAGCCTCAATCTTCTAAGACATTACTTAAGTGGTTATGCTCAGAATATTGGTAGAAATATGGTCAATAAAGGCAGTTCTGATGAGGTATCAGAAACGAGGGACATGTCATTAGAAACAGGAGGAAAGGCCATCCTTGTTATAAAGTGGCAAAGAACTCGGCGGAATTGTGTTGGGTCCTAATGTTTTGTGAAAGCAGGAACTTAACAAGCAATGAAACAGGATATTTGGCAAAAGAAATCTCTAAGCAAAGTGCAGCATGGCTTCTCCTGATTGCCGATAGGAAACTGCCAGGAGGGAAACAGATTAAATACAAAATTTATAATCAATTCTTTATATCAATTATGAAAAAAAGCCTCAGCCAGTTCACAATGGAGAAGCATAGCAGACACCACCTTTCAAAAGCAACCAAACATCACCTGTAAAGGGAAAGACACCAGATGCTTCATGATATGAAGCACTGAGAAGCACACATCACTTCTACTTCCAGGCGGTTCCTGCCAAGAATGCATAACCCAAATGGAATTCTGAGAAATCATCACACAAATCCAAACTGAAGGGTTTTCTACAAAATAACTGGCCTGCATCCTTCAAAAATGTCCAGGTTATGAAAGACAAAGAAATATGAGAAACTGTGGCAGCTTAGAGGAAACTAAAGAGACATAGCAACTAAGTGCAATGTGTGATTCCGGACTGAATCATGAACCAGAACAAAAAGAATTAAAACTATTTTCTTTTTGTTTTTAAATGGAGTCTTGCTGTGTCGCCCAGGCTGGAGTGCAGTGGCGTGATCTCTGCTCACTGCAAGCTCTGTCTCCCAGGTTCACGCCATTCTCCTGCCTCAGCCTCCCGAGTAGCTGGGACTACAGGCACCCGCCACCAGCCTGGCTAATTTTTTTGTATTTTTTAGTAGAGACGGGGTTTCACTGTGTTAGCCAGGATGGTCTTGATCTCCTGACCTCCGCCGGCCTCAGCCTCCCAAAGTGCTGGGATTACAGGCGTGAGCCACTGCGCCTGGCCAAAAGTATTTTCTAGGAGGAATAGTAATGAGACAATTAGCAAAATGTGGGAAAGGTCTGTATGTTCAATAGTAGTGTTGTATAAATGTCAGTTCTCTGATTTTGATCATTATAGCGTGGCTACTTACCAGAATGCCTTATTTTAGGATAATACACACTGAAGTATTTAGGGGTAGGTGACATCATGCTTATAACTTCCTCCCAAATATTTTAAGGAAAAATATATGCACACACACATACATTCAAATATGCAAAATGATAATGAAAAAGCAATGTTAACATTTAGATCTGGGTGAATGGTTTATGGAAATTCATTTTTGTACTATTTTGTACATTTTGTACTATTCTTGTGCTTTTGCTATAAGCCTGAAATTCTTTTAAATAAGAAGGAAATATAATTATGGCAGGAAAATAACTGACTGGGCCATATTACTAGCCCTAATGGTCCTCACCTGTCAGGGTAGAAGGCAAATACTGGTGACTGTCGAGTCACAGCCTCACATGCCCAGCACCATTGTAACCAACTAGACTATGCTTGCTCATGCACATGGCAACAGAAAATAAGGAGTCCAAGAACATGCAACCCAGAAATCAAACTTAACCATTGAATATAGTTGGCTTAGTCAGATCAGGGCTACTATAACAAAATATCACAAAATGGGTGGCTTGGCCGGGCACGGTGGCTCACACTTACAATCCCAGCACTTTTGGAGGCCAAGGCAGGCAGATCACCAGGTCAAGAGATTGAGACCATTCTGGCCAAAATGGTGAAACCCCATCTCTACTAAAAATAGAAAAATGGTGAGCTACTTGAGAGGCTGAGGAAGGAGAATCGCCTGAACCTGGGAGGCGGAGGTTGCAGTGAGCTGAGATCGCGCCATTGCACTCCAGCCTGGCGACAAAGTGAGATTCTGTCTCAAAAAAAAAATAAAGGGTGGCTTATAGACAAGAGAAATATATTGCTCACAGTCTGGAGGCTGAACATCCAAGATCAATGTGCTGGTTGATTTGGTGTCTGGTAAAGGTTGCTCTTGACTTCAGAGATGCACCTCCTTGATGTGTCTTCATGTGGTGGAAGCGGCTTGCTAGCTCCCTGGGACCTATTTTGCAAGGGCACTAATCCCACTCATGAGGGTTCATAACCTAATTACCTTCGTAAAGTCCCACCTCCTAGTGCCATCACTTTGAGAGTTAGGATTTCAATGTATGATTTTGGGGGCAGGCACAAACATTCAAATCATAGCAACATCTCACCCTATCAATAGAAAGGCAGTTCTTGATATCCTATTTAAAAATAATCTCTGTTAAGGGTAGGAAGAATTTAGTATAGAAATTCTGATGTCTAGGAAAATACTGTTATCAAATACTATATTAAAAGAAAGGTATTTACTCTGTCCAGAATATAGTCGCAAGCGTAAAGATTCTTTGATTTAGTGCTGTTTCAAGGGCAGTTTTAGAGCGGTTGCAAAAAACTTTGTTAAAAAAATAAAATTTTTAAGACTTGACTAAGCAATAGCATATTGAAAAAGAACTGTGCCTGACACAAGAAAATACTAAAGAGTGCTATCGTCCAATCCAATCTATTTGTTTCACAGATTCAAGAAATCAGGCTAGCAACTCAGGAGAGCCACTTAAATTAGTATCCATTCTAGAACTCGGGCCTCTAGCCATCAGGCCTGATCTATTTGTTTTTCATTTGCTAGTCCTTCCATAGATATTTGTCGAGCATCTTCTATGTCCCAGGAGCAGTGTTAGGCTCCAGATGGTAATGAACCTCTTCTCACTTCACTCACTCCCTCTTCATAGGACAATGACTACCCATCGCCAAAGCCTAGGGGCTAAAAATCTCATTATTAAGAACAAAGTGAATTAAAATTAATGAGCTCAAGACCTGATGTTTGCACTAATCTGCTCTAGTATTTTTTGTCATACTGTTTCTATTCAAGATTTTTAATCAGATAATCCCATCTAAAAAAGGGATCTCATAAAGCCTAAAACAGGGCATCTCTGTTTCTTCATTTTTATTCTTCGCAGAAGGATAAAAGATGAAAAGTTATTATTTCTCTACCCATACTCACCTGCATAAAAGGGATCTGTACTGGAAAGCCCCTTTAAACATACCTAGGGCAAAGGAAAGGCTGAAAATACTGACTTTTGTGAAGCCCACAGTTCGGCTCAGCAGGTGGGGGGCTTTTCAGAGATTTCTTCCTAACAGCCTGACAACACTTGGACAGGAATCAGGACGCAAAGCAAACCTCTCTGAGAAGTCCCGGCAAACAAGTCAGATGAAAGGGCCGCACTTCAGAAGGAAAATCCTGGCGCCCTGGAGTCTGAGGTTACCCGAGAATCTTCCCTCTCCCAGCACAGTGTAAACATTTAGGGCAGCTGTGGATCTGGGTTTCCTAGGAGTTCATGAATTTCAAAGGTGAAGCGCAGATCATTCAGGTATGTTTTCCTTTCTGGTGTTTCTATAAAACCAAAAAAATTAAAAAGTTGCTGGAGAAACTTGACTAGCATTCATTAAATCTAACAGGAAACTATTTTTCGAGTGAAAATACAGTTCTATTGATGTCAGAAGCTAATGTGACTTTTTTCTTGAATAATAATTGCCAAATACCCTTCTCTTAAATGGAAAATTTTTTTAAAAGGCTTTGTATGTTCTACAATGAGATTATTTGACAGGATAGAATAATTAGTATGCTTGCACTCACAAACATGAAATATTTCTAAAAATCATGAGTACCTGAACTGAGATAAGGGAATGACTGGAAGAGGATGGGAAAGCAGAGGGAATGAAAAACCAAAGAACCCAAATTATTTGCAAGAAAAATGATGATTTATCTTAGTTTTATGCCTTGGCAATGTTTTTGAGCAATAAAAACGCAGCTCTGTGGCTGACTGAAGAAGCCAAGATAGTAGAGTTCTTAGCGGAATGAACTCAAATATGGCCCAGGCAGCAAACAATGAGAACAGATCTCAGCTGAGTGTGGAGCTGAGCCCTGCAGGGCCCCATGTTAACCCCTCAGTCGCTGGATGCCTGGGAAGCCAGGTGGAGACCAGGAGAAAGAGATGGCTGGGGAGGCAAATCCTAGGGTAGTTCAAGACAGCAGCATCTTCAAGTGACCCAGGAATATTCCAGTATTTTAGCAATGAGCATAGCTGTGCCAGTGCGTCCCAGCTTGAATATGGGCCCTGAACATTGAATTTTTTAACACATCTGAGATCATACCACCTATAATTTGGTGCCCTACTTTTTTTTTTCTCCCAGTTTAACAGTATACTGTGAGCCTTTTCCCACAATGGGCACTGTCTGTGTTTATGGCTTTGCTTCCAAAAAGAATTGGAGGCAATTTAGCTTAAATGAGAATAAGAGTGTTGAAGTACAATTGCTTTTGTCCACAGAAAATTCTTCTGAACAACGTGGTTCATGATGGTGAGCCACAGTTCCCGGCCTACTCCTTCTATTTTGTTAAGCATTCTCGGGCCTGGTGCAGTGGCTCACGCCTGTAATCCCAGCAGTTTGGGAGGCCAAGGCAGGCAGATCACAAGGTCAGGAGATCAAGACCATTCTAGCTAACACGGTGAAACCCCGTGTCTGCTAAAAAACACACAAAAAATTAGCCAGGCGTGGTGGTGGCGCCTGTAGTCCCAGCTACTCGGGAGGCTGAGGCAGGAGAATGGCGGGAACCCGGGAGGGGGAGCTTGCAGTGAGCCGAGATTGCACCACTGCACTCCAGCCTGGGCGACAGAGCGAGATTCCGTCTCAAAAAAAAAAAAAAAAAAAACACTAAGGCCCCACACATTCTGACTGTACCCTCTCTCTCTCTCCCTCCTTCAGATTTCCCTCCTCCAAGCTCCCCTGCAAGTTTTGATCTTGTCTTTATCACCCTTCTCTATCATCTGCCAGATCTGTTCTTTCTCTTCCCCAAAGTAACTCTTATCCCTCTTTGTGTAAATCCCCCAGGTTCTCTTTTCTTAGCTAATCTCCCTAGTCTGACCAACAACACCCAGAACTGGGCTAGCAAAGACAGAATCTTCTTAGAATAGAAGAAAAGAAGAGAGGTTGGTTGTAAACATTTGCAAGTTATTGTTTTGTGTCAGCTATTTGTTTTTGTTTTTGTTTGGAGACAGCATCTCACTCTGTCCCCAGGCTGGAGTGCAGTGGTGCGATCTTGGCTTGCTGCATCCTCGACCTCCTGGGCTCAAGTGATCCTCCTACCTCAGCCCTCAAGTAGCTGGAGGACAGGTTCGCTCCACCACACCTGGCTAACTTTTTTTTTTTTTTGTATTTTTTGTAGAGATAGGGTTCTGCCATGTTGCTGAGGCTGGTCTCAAACTCCTAAGCGCAAGCTCAGCCTCCCAAAGTGCTAGGATTACAGGCATGTGCCACTGTATCCAGCCTGTGTGTTTTGTTTTGTTTTGTTGAGACTGAGTCTTGCTCTGTCGCCCAGACTGGAGCGCAGTGGCGTGATCTTGGCTCACTGCAACCTCCGCCTGCTGGGTTCTTACCATTCTCCTGCCTCAGCCTCCTGAGTTGCTGGGACTACAGGTGCCCACCACTACGCCCAGCTAATTTTTTTGTATTTTTGGTAGAGACGGGGTATCACCATGTTAGCCAGGATTGTCTCGATCTCCTCACCTTGTGATCCGTCCACCTCGGCCTCCCAGAGTGCTGGGATTACAGGAGTGAGCCACCGTGTGCATGTCCAGCTTTTTTTTTTTTTTTTTTTTTTTATTTTTTATTTTTTGTGAAAGCATCTCGCTCAGTCGCCCAGGCTGGAGTGCAGTGGCACAATCTCAATCTCGGCTCACTGCAACCTCTGCCTCCTGGGCTCAAGCCATTCTCCTGCCTCAGCCTCCCAAGTAGCTGGGATTATAGACGTCTGCCACCACACCCAGCTAATTTTTGTATTTTAATAGAGACAGGATTTCACCTTGTTGTCCAGGATGGTCTTGATCACCATGTTGTCCAGGATGGTCTTGATCTGTTGACCTCATGATCCGCCTGCCTCTACCTCCTAAAGTGCTGGAGTTAAGGTGTGAGCCACTGTGCCTGGCCAAAACTCCTGCTTTCAATCGTTTTGAATATATACCCAGAAATGGTATATGGTAATTTGTCATTTAATAGTTTAAAAATATTTCTTAAGAGGAGATGTTCTCCACATGTCTCAGTAGCCAATGAGGAAAGGATACTCTGGATAAAACAGAACCCTGGACATTATTACTATATGTGAAAACAAATACCGTTATTGTATTTTGATAGTCTTGTTGGCCTCTTTACTCTTGGTCTCTTTACTCCTTAACAATTCGGTAGTAAAAAGGAGATATAATAAGTCAGCCAGGTAAGAATAACATAAATAATGAGACCTCAGAGAGCAGCATTGAATCTCACAGCTCTGAAGTATTGAAAATGGCCAAACAAAAAATGGGTAGAAAATGGAAAGATTTGAAAGTAAAACAGTAGAGAGAGAATAAAAACACTGCCTTGAAATTGTGGAGGAAAGTAGTATTTATGATCCCATTGAAAAATTTTAGGTGATTTTTAAAATATAAAATCTGAATCAAAAAGTACTATAAAAGTGCTTTTGAACAGTGCCCTAGATAGAGCTCTTCCCTGAAACCATTGCTGGAGTGCTTGGGCGATGAAAGGCCATCTTCATTTTCTCTTTTGGGCAGGAACAGTTCGGCTATGTTTCTAAATTTGTGTTTTTTTCCCTTTAATTTCAATTTTATTTGGTGGTATGTTTCATTTGTATCTTCCGGAAGAGAAATTGCCTGGATAACTCATAGACTAATATCAACTCCCTTTAAATTCTTTTTTTCTCTTTCTTTTTTTTTTTTTTTTTTTTTGAGACGGAGTCTCGCTCTGTTGCCTAGGCTGGAGTGCAGTGGTGCAATCTCAGCTCACTGAAACTTCCGCCTTCTAGGTTCAAGTGATTCTCCTGCCCCAGCCTCCCGAGTAGCTGCAACTACAGGTGACCGCCTCCACGTCCGGCTAATTTTTGTGTTTTTTGTTAGTAGAGATGGGGTTTCACTGTGTTGACCAGGCTGGTTTCAAACTCATGACCTCGTGATCCATCTGCCTCAGCCTCCCAAAGTGCTGAGAATACAGGCGTGAGCCACCGTGCCCGGCCAACCCCCTTTAAATTCTAATCAAAGGATCAGGGTAACAAAAATTTAATGGATTTTAATAAACCGTAATCAAATATTGTTTACTGGTTATAATTTTTTCTTTTTTTTGAGATGGAGTTTCACTCTTGTTGCCAGGCTAGAGTGCAATGATGTGATCTCAGCTCACCACAACTTCCACCTCTCTGGTTCAAGCAATTCTCCTGCCTCAGCCTCCTGAGTAGCTGGGATTATAGGCATGTGCCACTATGCTCAGCTAATTTTGTATTTTTAGTAGAGACAGGGCTTCTCCACATTGGTCAGGCTGGTCTCCAACTCCTGAGACTTCAGGTGATCCGCCCACCTCGGCCTCCCAAAGTGCTGAGATTACAGGTGTGAGCCACAGCACCTGGCCTCTGGTTATAAAATTAATGAGGAAATTACCAGAATGGAGACTGAAAGTTCAAGCTAATCAGGTCCTGAGACATTTAGAGATGCCCGTCCACTCCACAGGATTGTCCAGGACTCTGCCATTTGAAGCCACCTTGAGTGGAGGATTAGACTGAAGATAGGAAGTGCATGATTTGAGTACCGATCAAAAGGATTTTGTTAGAACTTTTGACATCCCATTAGTCGTGTTGAATTGAAAATTGTCCGGGAGTGAAAGCTGAGGTTCCTGTAATTTGAGATCAGTCAGTGGTGTGGGAGCCTAGAGCTACTTAGGATGGAACCCTTCTCTCAGCCTGCAAAGCTGCCCTACTCCCAGTAGGTAGAGGTGTACTGGTGATAGGGTCAGCCGGACTCAGCAGAATGGCTGATGTGGAAGTGAGGGTTATGCTCAGTAAGGGAGCGAGTGGAGATTTTAGTATCCAACTTGCTGCCAACAAATTGTCTCCCCAGATAGTTTTTGGTGTTAACGTATATTGAAGGATGGTCGCCACTGAATATTTCACATGCTAATCTTGTGGTACAAAAAAAGAAATATATACTCCAAGATCACAAACTAAATGAAAATACTAATGGGCAGTTGTTAGGGACTGATTTGTGTCTCCTCCCAAATCCTGTATGTTGAAGACCTAACCCCAGTGTGACTGCTTGGAAATGGGGCCTTTCAGGAGGTAGTTAAGGTTAAATGAGGTCATAAGGGTGGGCTCCAATCTAATGTGTCTAATATTATTATTATTATTATTATCATCAGTTTGAGACAGTTTCACTCTGTCACCAGGCTGGAGTGCAGTGGTGTGATCTCGGCTCACTGCAACCTCCACCTCCCCGGTTCAAGCAATTCTCCTGCCTCAGCCTCCCAAGTAGCTGGGATTACAGGCACGCGCCACCATGCCTGGCTGATTTTTGTATTTTTAGTAGAGACGGGGTTTCATCATGTTGTCCAGATGGTCTCTATCTCGTGACCTCGTGATCTGCCTGCCTTGGCCTCCCAAAGTGCTGGGATTACAGGTGTGAGCCACCATACCTGGCCCAATGTGTCTAATATTCTTATAAGAAGAGGAAGAGATGGCCCGGTGCGGTGGTTCACGCCCTGTAATCCCAGCACTTTGGGAGGCTGAGGTGGGTGGATCACAAGGTCAAGAGATCAAGACTATCCTGGCCAACATGGTGAAACCCCATCTCTACTAAAAAATACAAAAATTAGCTGGACGTGGTGGTCTGTGCCTGTAGTCCCAGCTACTTGGGAGGCTGAGGCACGAGAATCACTTGAAGCTGTGAGGCGGAGGTTGCAGTGAGCTGAGATCGCGCCACTGTACTCCAGCCTGGTGACAGAGCGAGACTGCATCTCAAAAAAAAAAAAAAAAAAAAAAAAAGGGGAAGTGACACCAGAGATTTCTCTCTCCTAAAATCACACACAAAAAAAGGCCATGTGTATTCACAGCAAGAAGGTGGCTGTCTACAGGCCAGGAAGAGGGATCTCATCAGGAACTGAATCCACAAGCACCTTAATCCTGGACTTCCTAGCCTCTATAACTACAAGAAAATAAATTTTTGTTTTTTTGAGCCACCTATGTTATTTTGTTATGGCAGCCTAGGCAGACCAATATAGCAGGTGACCCGATCAATACCACTTCCTTTTACAACATCTGCAAAATATTGAAAGCAGGTGATTTTTTTTTTTTTTTTTGAGATGGAGTCTTGTTCTTGTTTCCCAGGCTGGAGTAGAGTAGCACAATCTCAGCTCACTGCAACCTCTGCCTCCTGGGTTCAAGCGATTCTCCTGCCTCAGTGTCCAGAGTATCTGTGATTACAGGCATACGCCACCACGCCCGGCTAATTTTTATATTTTTAGTAGAGACGGGGTTTCACCATGTTGGCCAGGCTGGTCTCGAACTCCTGACCTTGTGATCCACCTGCCTCAGCCTCCCAAAGTGTTGGGATTATAGGCATAAGCCACTACTCTGGGCCAAAAGCAGGTGATTCTTTAAATACTTGGGACCCATTCAACAAAAAGTATTGTAATTTTTTTGGTAAGAATCCACCAACACTGCTACCATTGCCCTTGGTAATGATGGATTTACATTTACAACATCATCATGATGTGGAAATAAATGATTTAAAACATCGTTGATGTTTTGATGGTATGTTGAAACATCATACCATCATTTATGGTATGTTCACTTTTTCACCTTCACATGGAATTGTGTAGAAAAGGGTCCAGATCAACTCTCACTTCTGGGGAGAGAAATGACTTTGTAGTGGAGAGTCAAGGTAGATGTTTGCTTTTAATCCCATGTGTTTAAGATTATTTTTACAACAAGCATATATTCACATATTACTCTTAAACTTTAAAAAACAATAAAAGTACTGAGAGGAAAATAGATCACATTGGCAGCTTCATTGGAAAAGAACAATAATGTATGTGAAGAAAATATTTTGGAGGCTGTAAAAGTAAGCCTGGGCTGGGTACAGTGGCTCACCCTTGTAATCCCAGCACTTTGGGAGCCTGAGGTGGGCAGATCATCTGAGGTCAGGAGTTCAAGGCCAGCCTGGGCAACATGGTGAAACCCTGTCTCTACTAAAAGTGCAAAAATTAGCCGGGTGTGGTGGTGCACACCCGTAATCCCAGTTACTTGGGAGGCTGAGGCAGGAGAATTGCTTGAATCTGGGAGGTGGAGGTTGCAGTGACTCAAGATTGTGCCACTGCACTCCAGCCTGGGTGACAGAGTGAGACTCTGTCTCAAAGTAAACCTGACCAAGAAAGATGGTGATTGTCCCCCTCCAACCCCCAATCTATTCTTATTGCTGTAGCCAGAGTGGTCTTATACAAACACAAATGAGATCACATCACTCCTCTGCTTAGCGTCCCTCAACGACTTTTCTATCCTCAGAGAACGTGCAGATCCTCACTGCAGCCCGTGAGGCACTGCATGACTTTTTCCTCATGGGGTCTCCGGCCTCCCCTCTGGGCTCTTCCTTGTGTCATTATGTTTACCTCTCTTGCTCACTCCTGGGTACCCAAGCCTAGTAAGTGCTTGTGAATAACAGAAGTTCGGTAAATTTTGTTGAATTACTGAATGATGAGAAAAGAAAAGGCAAAGCAGCTTAGAACAAAGCTCTGAAGGGTTCCAACCTTTATGAGTGAGGCAGACAGAGGAGGTATAATAGGCAAGGGATTCTAAGAGGGAGTAACCAAGAAGGTAGGAAACAAACCAGAAGGGTGGTGATGAGGAAGGCAAGAGAAGGATCTGTTTCACAGAGAGGGAGGGGGTCACAGTTTCATATGTGGAAGGGTCAGTGAAGAGAAGGATGAAAAGTGTTCATCATTTAGCTTTCACGCAGAGGGGAACAACACAGACTGGGGCTTTTCAGAGAGTGAAGGGTGGAAGGAGGGGGAAGATCAGGAAAAACAAGTAATGGGTACTACACTTAATACCTGGTTGATGAAATCATCTGTACAACAAAACCCCATGACACAAGCTTACCTATGTAGCAAACCTGCACTTGTACCCCTGAACTTAAAAGTTAAAAAAAGAAAGTGTTCATCTTAAATTTAGTGACAAGGAGACCTTGGGGGGCTTTATTAAAAGCAGTTTCAAGGGAGTGAAAAGTGTAGGCAGCAAATTTCAGGATGAGAACCTTAAGTTTTGATAGTGTGGTGAGATGACTCTCCTTCACCTGGGGATCAATCTTCAGACCTTAGCCCTACCACTTACTAAGCATGAGCTTCAGCAACATACTTAATCTTTGTATTCTTCACCTGTAGCATGAGAATAATAATGATACTCACATGCTGGACTGACGGGAGAACTGGAAATAATGAGCCCCATAGATTTAGCTCAAAGATTCTCAATAAATGGTAATAGTGGTTACAATTTAGTTAAGCTTGTGCATTTAAATTTACTATTCTGGGCCAGGTGCAGTAGCTCACCCCTGTAATCCCAGCACTTCGGGAGGCCGAGACAGATGGATCACAGGTCAGCAGTTCGAGAGCAGCATGACCAACATGGTGAAACCCCATCTCTATTAAAAATACAAAAATTAGTCGGGTGTGGTGGTGCGCTATTGTCCCAGCTACTCGGGAGGCTGAGGCAGGAGAATCGCTTGAACCTGGGAGGTAGAGGTTGCAGTGAGCCGAGATCACACACTGCATTTCAGCCTGGCGATAGTGAGACTCCATCTCCAAAACAAACAAACAAAATTTACTATTTTGTGAAAATAGACTTAACTAAATTGATAGATGCTAAGGCATTTTTTAAAAAGTGTATCAGCAGGCCAAGTGCAGTGGCTCATGCCTTTCGGAGGCTGAGGTGGGCAAATCATGAGGTCAGGAGATCGAGACCATCCTGGCTAACATGGTGAAACCCCATCTCTACTAAAAATACAAAAAAATTAGCCGGACATGGTGGCGGGCACCTGTAGTCCCATCTACTCAGGAGGCTGAGGCAGGAGGATGGCCTGAACCTGGGAGGCGGAGCTTGCAGTGAGCCGAGATCATGCCACTGCACTCCAGCCTGGGCAACAGAGCAAGATTCTGTCTCAAAAAAATAAAAATAAAAAATAAAAAGTGTATCAGCTACTTTATGATTAAATCAAGTTACTGTCAACTCACTTGCTTTTCAGTTAGGTAAAACTGATAGAAAACAACAAAGTGTGTGCATGTGTGTGCACGTGCGCATATGTGTGTTTTACAGGAAAAAGAAAAATTTAACAGAATGTGTGTATTTCACAAGGAATTTCTAGAATTGTGTCAGTAAATAAATACGCAAATGAATCATTGGTGAAATTATAGTGCTGAAACACGATGGACAAAAAAAAAAAATTCTGGTTGTGATTCTAGGCAAAAATGCTTGGACCAGATTAGCACATTGTCATAATTCTTTTCTTTACTTGGAGCTTTTAAGAAAGCCATTGGTGGGTAAACTTTTAAATTTCTTCCTCTATGATTTGAAATAACTTTGGTGTGCATCACATAATGTTTGATGGAAACATCTATGTTAGGTTACCAACATGGCAAAATATTTTGTTTAATATCAAAATTCAGCAAGTATGGTCAGCTTATGTTGGAACTTTTTTTTTTTTTTTTTGAGACGAAGTCTTGCTCTGTCACCCAGGCTGGAGTGCAATGGCATGATCTCAGCTCACTGCAAGCTCCACCTCCTGGGTTCACACCATTCTCCTGCCTCAGTCTCCTGAGTAGCTGGGACTACAGGTGCCCCCTGCCATGCCTGGCTAATTTTTTGTATTTTTAGTGGAGACGGGTTTTCACCATGTTAGCCAGGATGGTCTCGATCTCGTGACCTCGTGATCTGCCCACCTCAGCCTCCCAAAGTGCTGGGATTACAGGCGTGAGCTACTGCGCCCAACCATGTTGGAACATTTTTATGTTTTATGAAAGTTTTCCTGGCCTGGCGTGGTGGCGCATGCCTGTAATCCCAGCACTTTGGGAGGCCGAGGCAGGTGGATCACCTGAGGTCAGGAGTTTGCAACCAGTCTGACTAACATGGTGAAACTCTGTCTCTACTAAATACAAAAAAATGAACTGGGCATGGTGGCACATGCCTGTAATCAGAGCTACTTGGGAGGCTGAGACAGGAGAATCGCTTGTACCTGGGAGGTGGAGGTTGCAGTGAGCCGAGATTGCGCCATTGCACTCCAGCCTGGGCAAAAAGAGCAAAACTCCGTCTCAAAAAAAAAAAACTTTTCCCTAAACTTTTACAGAGAATTAAATGTAAATAAAGGCTTGAACTATCAGGAAATGTATCGATAATTTCTTCTTCATTTTTGAAGAATAGTTTTACTAGGTATAAAATTTTTGGTTGACAGGTTTTTTTTTTCTTTCAGGGCTTTGAATACATCTTCCCACTGCCTTCTGGCCTCCAAGGTTCCAGATGAGAAATCAGGTGTTGATCTCATTGAGGTTCATTGTATGTGATAAGTCACTTCTTGCCGTTTTCAAGATTCTGTCTTTATTTTGTCATTTGACAGTTTGGTTATGATGTGTTTAGGCATGGATGTCTTTGAGTTTATATGACTTGGAATTTGTTGAGCTTATTGGATGTATATATTAATGTCTTGGAATTTGTTGAGCTTATTGGATGTGGATATTAATGAGCTTACCAAATTTGGTAAGTTTCCGGCTGTTATTTCTTCAAATATTCTCTCTGTATTTTCTTTTCTTTTCTCTCCTGGCACTCCCCTGTGTTTGCGGTCGTTACTGCTTGTTGCAGTTGTTTGTTTAGTGACTTTTCTGAACTAAATCCATAAAGCTTGTATTTTTTTTCTTTTGCCACTGAAGTCATAACTATATTGCTTAGTGGTCAGCTGAGGATTAAGCAGATATTTTCTTTTTTTTCTTTTCTTTTTTGAGATGAAGTCTCACTCTGTGGCCCAGGCTGGAGTGCAGTGGTGCAATCTCAGCTCACTGCAAACTCCACCTCCCAGGTTCAAGTAATTCTCCTGCCTCAGCCTCCTGAGTAGCTGGGATTACAGGCACAGGCCACCACACCTGGCTAATTTTTGTATTTTTAGTAGAGATAGGGTTTTGCCCCATTGGTCAGGCTGGTCTTGAACTCCTGACCTCAGGTGATCCACCCACCTCAGCCTCCCAAAGTGCTGGGATTACAGGCATGAGCCGCTGTGCCCAGCCAGGACAGATTTTTTTCTTAAATACTCATAGTCTTTGTAAAGGGACTCTGATTGCATGTTGGGGCATGCTTTCAACACTCAGCCAGGCAGCTTACAATTCTGCCTTAAGCCTTCATTCCCACGTGACAAGGAAAGGATGTGCCACTCACCTTTTTGCTTTGTATCCTGGGTTTAAATACCTTTCCTTAGCATTATCCTCAGTCTGACAACTTTCAGATCATAATCCAGGTAGAAATATAGAGAAAAAGTAATTTTGGTTCAATGTGGCAAGTGAACAGAGCAATGTGGCACCCTGCTGGCATAAGACATGTCCATGAATATCACTTATCTGTCAGTATACTCTGGAAATAGGGAAATAACAGTGAAGAGATACTCTGAACAAATAGAATTCTAGATGAAACCCATTATACTGTTGCTGCTGCATTTTGCAGAAACAAGATAGAAAAAGAATTAAAGACTACAAAATTGTGGCTGAGAATCCAAAAGAATCAGAAAGCTGAATATCAAAATAAAGCCAGTATTCTCAGCAGGTGTTATAACTTCACATATTATAATAGCTTAATATCCCATATAGCAGTGGTTGGTATGCAGCCTTTTTGGCACCAAGGACCGGTTTTGTGGAAAACAATGTTTCCATGGACAGGGGCTGGGGGGATAGTTTCAGGATGAAACTGTTCCACTTCAGATCATCAGGCATTAGCCAGATTCTCTCCCTCGCACGTGCAGTTCACAATAGGGTTCACACTCCTATGAGAATCTAATGCCGCTGCTGATCTAATGGGAGGCAGAGCTCAGGCAGTAATCCTGGCTCACTTGTAGCTCACCTCCTGCTGTGCGGCCTGGTTCCTAACAGGCTACGAACTGGTACCAGTCTGTGGTTGGGGACCCCTGCCATATAGAACTGGTTATCTGTCATATTTACAAATTACTCAGAAATGTCACTTGTTAACCTACCAGAAAATGTCTACCTTAAATAATTAATGTGTTTTCTTCATAAAGCCTACCCAGTTAAGAATTTCCAAAAATTCATTAAGAGACACGTAATAAAGGCCAGACGTGGTGGCTCATATCTGTAACCCCAGAACTTTGGGAGGCCGAAGCAGGTGGATCACCTGAGGTCAGGAGTTCAAAACCACTCTGGCCAACATGGTGAAAACCCATCTCTACTAAAAATACAAAAAATTAGCTGGGTGTGGTGGTGTGTGCCTATAATCCCAGCTACTCAGGAAGCTAAGGCAGGAGAATTGCTTGAACCCAGGAGGCAGAGGTTGCAGTGAGCCGGGATCACGCCATTGCACTCCAGCCTGTGCAACAAGAGTGAAACTCCATCTCAAAAAAAGAGAGAGAGACAGGTAATAAAAAGACAATAAATCTAGTGATAGGATTTGCATAGTATGTAATTTGTAAAATAATTTAATAAGGACAAGTGAATTATAGACTAGGATTCACACTCTGTGATGATGACATTCTAGAACAGAAACAATACTTTCATCATTAAAACACTTCTATCTTTAGGCAGAATGTGTCTGATATTGCCAACATAATCCAAGATTTGTAGAAGTGTTTGAAAAGTTATGAATGTTTACGGGTGATACTAAAGATATGCAGCCACTACTTATAGAGAATTTTCAGGTTTTGACATATTTGTGTTTGTTTGTAAGACGTGTATCACTAGCAGCCACAGAAATTTGACTATGTAATTGTCTTATTAACAAAAATGAAAGCAGGACTGAGAACCAATTGTTAATCATAGGAAGTGTTGCCAAGACCCACACCAGAAGGAAAAAAGGAGCCTGCACTCTTGGTTTTCACAACTAGATGGTGCTGCTCTGCTTTCAAATGGGAAGGACTGCAAAGCCGTTAAAACATCAAGAGTTCTCCTGGAAACAGCCACATAACTAGCACCTTTTACCTGTGAAGCCCTTGCTGGCCAACTATTGCTTGCCAGTAGTGTGCACATTACAGTGAAGGTGATCATTGTGCAAAATCATTCCATAAACCTCTCCAATGTAGTTATTCTGTACATAGATGCTCCTCCCTGGATATCAGTGTTAGGACACGTACAAGAAATCGTAAAATTAACCTACATGAAACAGGAAAGCATTGAATCACACGTTATGGCTTTAAAAATATTACACACATAATCTAGATTCAATTTAGGAGAGTTAGAAAATGCAGATCATCAAAATGACAGTAAAACTACTTATAGTCTTTCAACATAGCTTTGAAAGCAGCAAGACTGGCTAGCCTTGGTGACACTGAAAATCTAGAATACTGAAAGGGACATCAGCGCAGTATGTTTTTAACCCTGTTACTCCTTCACATTGCAGTAGTACTGTGGCCTCTGTGGCAGGACTTCACATTGTGGCAGTACCATGGCCTCTGTGGCAGGACTTCACACTGCAGCAGTACCGTGGCCTCGGTGGCAGTACTTCACATTGTGGCAGTACTGTGGCCTCTGTGGCAGTACTTCACATTGCAGCAGTGATGTGGCCTCTGTGGCAATATTTCAAATTGCAGCAATGCCGTGGCGCAATGTGGCAGTACTTCATATTGTGGCAGTACTTCACATTGCAGCAGTACTGTGGCCTCTGTGGCAGTACTTCACATTGCAGCAGTACTGTGGCCTCTGTGGCGATATTCACATTACAGCAGTACCGTGGCCTCTGTGGCAGTACTTCATATTGCAGCAGTACTGCTTGGCCTCTGTGGCAGTACCCATATTGTGATACTAGCCTCTGTGTGTACTCATATTACCTTGAGACCATAGCCTCTGTGGCAGTGCCATATTGCAGCAGTACTGTAGCGTCTGTGGCAGTACTTCATATTGTGGCAAATACCATGGCCTCTGTGGCAGTACTTCATATTGTAGCAGTAATGTTGCCCTCTGTGGCGTACTTCACATTGCAGCAGTACTGTATGGCCTCTGTGGCAGTACTTCACATTGCAGCTGGTACCGTGGCCTCTGTGGCAGTACTTCATATTGTGGTAGTAATGTGCCCTCTGTGGCAGTGCACTTCATGTTAGCGTGCACTTCACATTGCAGCAGTACTGTAGCCTCTGTGTAATGCTCACATTGCAGTGATACTGTGGCCTCTGTAGCGAAATATTCACATTGCAGCAGTACCGTGGCCTCTGTGGCAGTACTTCATATTGCAGCAGTACAGTGGCCTCTGTGGAAATACTTCATATTGTCACAGTACTTTATATTGCAGCAATACCATAGTGTCTGTGGCAGTACTTCATATTGCAGCAGTACTGTGGCCTAGTACCGTGGCCTCTGTGGCAGTACTTCATATTGTGGCAGTAATGTGGCCTCTGTGGCAGTACTTCACATTGTGGCAGTACCATGGCCTCTGTGGCAGTACTTCATATTACAGCAGTACAGTGGCCTCTGTGGAAATACTTCATATTGTGGCAGTACTTTATATTGCAGCAGTACCATAGTGTCTGTGGCAGTACTTCATATTGCAGCAGTACTGTGGCCTCTGTGGCAGTACTTCACATTGCTGCAGTACCGTGGCCTCTGTGGCAGTACTTCATATTGTGGCAGTACCATGGTCTCTGTGGCAGTACTTCATATTGTGGCAGCATCATGGCCTCTGCAGCAGTACTTCATATCGTGGCAGTAATGTGGCCTCTGTGGCAGTACTTCACATTGCAGCAGTACCATGGCCTCTGTGGCAGTACTCCTCTCCTAGTTTTTTCCCCTTCCCTCTGCCTTCAGTACTGGATTGCAGCGTGCTGTGATGCACATGTGTTTCACATTTTAAATCACTGACGTTGGGATAGATTCTACTATCGCTGCTGTCTTACCACCTCTGAGGGCCAGGTGGCAGTCATGGTGTGGCTGTCATTGTCTGAGCATGGGAGAGTATTGGCAACATTTGCTGGGAAGAAAATCTGAGACTAAGCACTCTTTGTTTTTTCATTTTTTAAGTATTTATTTATTTGAAGACAGGGTCTCTGTCATCCTGGATGACACCCTGTCTTCAAATAAATAAATACTTACAAAATTAAAAAAAAAAACAAAGAGTGCTTGGTCTCAGTTTGGAGGTTGAGCCTGCCATCACAGCACGCTGCAGCCTCAACCTCCTGGGCTCAAGCAATCCTCCCACCTCAGCCTCCTGAGTTGCTGGGACTATAGGCACACACCACCATACCTAGCTGATTTTTTTTTCTTCTGTGTTTTGCAGAGATGGGTTTCACCATGTTGCCCAGGCTGGTCTCAAATTCCTGGGTTCAAGCAATTCACCTGCCTCAGCCTCCCAAAGTGCTA